GTACTTCACATTCTGGGAAACCCTAAACCCTATTTATTCTCTATAGGTGCATCGGTGTAGGTTTAGGGATGCACGGATGAGGAGAAGCACCATATCCAAGTATCCATCACGTGGAAATGCTGAAGTGGTCAAACAAGCCACACCGCCCCCACTAATTGGAGTCAAATGGAATGATCTTCAACCCTAGCAACGCAATGCTGGCAGCATATCGGGCATTTTTTAGATTGTTGGAAGTGGAAGGGCTCATTATCGGAGGGCATTCTGTCATGTTCCATCAGCTGCCTTGCTTGCAAGAACACGAGACCCAGAATCACTGACCCACCGGCTATCCGCAGCGACTCAGGCTAAAGATTTCTGTCAATTTGCAGTAGCATGATAAAGTTCAGTTGGATGCAGCTCTACGCCATTGCGCCCCTCTGCAGTTTCGCTGCCAACGCGCACATGTCCGGTGTTCTCCTTCTTGACAGCTCAGCACATCTGCATCAAGTAAACCATGTCTGAGGTTGGGTCCTGTTAAGCGCTCCAACATCCCAGGCAAATCTAGACACCTCAGACGGTGGTTGCCTTCTGACCCTGATATCAATCGAAACTTGAAAAGTAGCTCTAGGTCATGACTACCACTACCTCTACTGCTTCTACTTCTGCAACGACGACGACTACTACTCCTCCTCCAACAAGTCCTACTACTGCATAAAGGGCCACCCTACAGCCTCTCGTAATATAAGGCATGAGGAAATGCACCCTGGACTGCTTGGACTGCCTGGGCCGCACATCGGAGCGCTCGCAGCGCGACAGCGGCGGCCGCCGGATGCCCCAGCGCTGCAGTTCGGAGGAGCTGCGAGTGTTCAGATGTTTGCGTGGATGAAGTGTCTGGTTTATGGCGCTGCAACGCAAACAAAACTCAAAAGTTGGGAGCGCATGTGTGCCATTCTGGTCCTGGAAGGAGGGTTTCAACTGGGCTGACCGGAAGAAGGCCAAGGCTTTACTTTGAGAGACAAGCTGTACCCCAAGACACATTCATTCGAGGTCTAGAACCCGAAGAAACAGCAAAGGGATCTGGGCATTACTGAAGGGGGCGGTGGTCTGTCGAACGCCAGTGCAGAGAATTTGGCACAAGGCTTGTAGGCTGCGTGCCGGCACCTCTACCGGGTCTAGGCGTCACGGATCCTAAGTACAAGGATTGCTTTTGTAAGCAGCGTTGTATGTGCAAAAGCTGATCATGGAAGGAGTAAACATCCCTCAATGTTGCCGTGGGGAGCAGCCACCATGGAGTTTGTCATGATATCTGCGTGGCGAAACCATCATTTTCCTCAAGCAAGTTGCAAAATTGATCTGAACAAACGCCCACACGCGCGTGGCCGCACGTCTGATCTTGGCATGAATTCAGGTGGCCCATCCTTTGAGAAGCTGGCCCTGAAACACGCCTCGATCTTCCCCATCGACTTACATACATCTAGTTACATCCCTCGATAGGCTACTTCTGCACCATCCCCTGTAGGCTCCACTACCCTTACATCCTCCCTACGACGAAATATGTACTTGCCCCATGACATCCCTAAATGGCGGCCGTGCCCCTGCTTATATCTGGTGCCTGAAGTCGTTGTCTCTTTGAAAGGGCCCTCTTTGAAAGTGCTTGGGCCCACCCTGCAAAATACGCGCATGTGTATGTTTGTAGAGCGCTTCATTTCTGTACACCAAATACTATGCATGGCATAATATAGTTGGTAAGGGAACATGCCAACCCAGTCCCATAATCAGCCACAATCCCCATTCACAACTTTCTTTTTTACATTTGATTCTCGGTCTATTACTTCGGTAGTATCCCTCTATATGTCTACGTATAAACTATATATGTAATATACTGAATATATTCTATAGTGTATATGTATTCATATATCATATATTGTGTATACATACTCTTTCGACCGGGTATCCAGCCTTGGTGAGCTTCTGAGGCGGCAGCAAGCCCCTGGACTGGAGTGCAAGGCCTTGCTCTGAAGGTTTTTCCACAAGGTGATGCAACTACTTACTGGTGGTTCGGGTTTAGGGTTTAGGGTTTATGGTTTTAGGGTTTACGGTTTAGGGTTAGCAGGGAAGAAGGGAATATGTTGGGGCTTTATAGAGATAATGGAAAAGAAAATGGACATTACTACATGAGAGGAGGGTATGAAAGGTGGCTAGCAGGGAATGAGGGAAAATGGTGGATAGGGATTCTATATAGGGATAATATTCCCTTGTTCCCTATACCAAGTACCAGTAAGTATAGAATTCTCATTTGCCCATATTTGCCCATGTACTCCTAGTACAAACCAAGACTATTGTATGTATGTCCCCAGCGTGTTGGCACCCTAAACCCTAAGCCCTAGGGTTTTCAGGATGACGCAGTGGAGCTATACAAGGGGTTGTAATATTATATTGGGACTATATAGGGATAATGGAACAAAGCTACTATAATCGGGTATATATTAGGGTTACGGGGTATACTAATGCTTTCGGCGGAACATCAATGTGAAACGATTCAAGTTAGCGCCCTTGCGCAAGGATTGTCGCATTGCTGGTGGTTCTGCTCTCCCTTCGATGCCACCAGGCCTTGCAATGCGGCTTGCCATGCACTGCCCGGCGGTGCCATTCGTGCATGGTGCCTGGAGGGTTGTCCCGGCCAAGGTCTAGGGTAACTCAGGGTCATCATGCTGCACCTCCAGACATCAAAGGGCTTTGGTAAAGCGGCGGTGTGCAGTACGTAGGTGGCAAAGACAGCCAAAGTGCAACAGCCAGGCCTTTCTCACGCGGCATTTTGCAAAGCAATCCGACCATGCGACGAAAGAGGCTCCAGCAGGTTCTAAGTTGGGAAGGGAAGGGGCTTGCAGTCAGAGCTACTCGGCCGGCTGACCCAAAAAGAGAGGCACGCAGTGGTTTTGCGTTGTGTGCGCGGCGCTTGCTCGAGCTCTTTCTTGGGGACAGGGGATGATGACTGACCGGAGTTTGGGAAGCCCTCAAGATCACTCAGTATATCAAAGATGCCATACGTTGCTGCTGAACCTGGTGCCATGTACAAGCATGTCTGGTTTGAGCTGTCAAGTGCAGAACATAAGAGGTGCTGGAAACCTTGAAAGCTGACACACGGCAGCCTTTGCAGGAGGGAACCTTCATGTTGAGATTGCCCTCATCAGTAACTGCAAAGTAAACAGTTGATGCTTATGCATGGCCAACGCTGCGCGAGCCCCGACTCGCAGACCAATGTCATGTAACCGACACAAACAGTAGAACATGGTAGTTTCCCGAAATGGGACCCCCACATTGCCCTCAGCAAGCCCTGCGGTTCAAGCAGTTTGGTGTTCTGGGGCAGTGCTTTCAATTGCAAGACTTGACTTAGTGCATCTGCAAAGAAGAGGCAGGGACACAGCCTTCCAGGCAAGGGCCAAAACCGAAACAGCCTTTAGCTCCCCTTGTCCTCTTCAGCATGCCATCTCGCTACCGACAGGTGCTCGATGGCCTCCGTTCATGTAGAACAGTGAACATGATGGCGGCTGGCTCGGCAAGGGTGTGCACAAGGAGCAGCACCGAAAGATACAAAATAGGCTTCGGCTTGAGGGGCCTGCTATGTAGTAGGAAGCTAGCTTCGGGACGCGGCAACGCAATACACAAATGAACTGAAGACCTGCCAGTGCGCCTCATGCATCCCTACACCACATTATGTCCTTGCAACATGATTATAATATCATATTCCAGCATTTCATTGGTATTGCTATTGCCTACAAAACATGTACATAATTTTCCCCACGACTGTCTCTGGAGATTCCAGCTTGTAACTGAACTTGCTATATTTCAATGCAAGCCAAATAGGACGGGATTAAGCTTCAGCAAAGCAAAGACATGCAGCGGAAGGAGTAGTGGAGCTTTCCAAGAACTAGGGGTCCCTTTCTTGGAGTATAGTACCAGGGGTCTATATTCTATTGAAGCCCCTATGTATGAAAACACTCATATTGAGTAATAAATACTTGCCAAACAACAGTCGCAATCAATCCACGCATTTGTAGTATCATCCACTTCATTTTCCACTTGATTCTCCATGAATTAGAGGGGAAATAATAACCCCTAAGCTCCCCATATAATTTCAGTTTCCAAAATGCCCTACAGTGACAAGCCTCCTGCCGCCGGAGTCCTAACTCGGTCCAGATTGCTACCGCATCATCAGCCGCCTCCCATGCAGATCATGGGAAGAAAGGCGGGTGGCTACGTGGACCTTCTAAAAAAGAAATGTAGTTTTTCAGTTGATCGTCGGGAGGGTGTTCTTTTCGGGGCATAGATGTTCTTCGGGAGTGTGGAAGCACCTGGCGGGGATGTCCAAAATGCGGCCTTTACAGGAAGGGGGATCCCTAGTGCCAGGAACCCACCCCAAATCTTATACATAACTTGGGCTGTCTGCCACATGAGCTATAGTCTAAACTCTCCGTATCCCCCTTAATAACCCCTATAACAGTCGCCTGTAGAATTCCCTATATAACCCCGCTTTAAGGAGTTTAGACTATAGCTCACATGACTACATCCTGTAGCCGCCGTGCCTGCTTGCCACCTTCCATCTGCCGGTTGCCAAATCTGGCCTCTGCCAGAAGGTGTAAGGCTCGAGCCTCCCAAGGTAGATGTGGAGGGAGGGGCGAGGGCGAGGGGGCCTTACAGTAGTATCCATTTCATTTTTCGTGTTCTTTTCCATTTGGCGTAATATCCCTAACATAATTCCCACATAGCCCTACTCTAATTAGACATTCTAATTTGAAGACCACATTGGGCTGTGTTGTGGTCTACTTGCCCGGCAGCATGCGGAGTCTCGAACTTACGAAAGGACTTGAACTTCGTAGTACGAACTTGTTAAAACAGCTCGCTGGAACGTACCAGCTAGCTGCCACAGAAGCGCCTCATCCCTGCTTGCACGATTGTTCTATGCTATTTTCCGCCTAGCATTCTGCTTCGTCCTGTCTGCTGCGAAACATAAGCCACCGAACCTCCGACCGCGAATCCTCAGCATCTTCGAAGATTGCCAGAGCCTTCAGAACAGCGTCGCATTCCAACAAACATTCGCGCCCAAAGGCCCAAATTCTTTGCTCTTTTCAGTGCATGTAAATGACAAGCACCCAAGTGTCAGCATAAGGTTTCAGATGTTGCGGACAGGCAATTGAGATCTCTATATACTTCTTCTCTCAGGGGCTCTAGGGCTTTGCGGTCACCATGGTTGGCGAAACAGCCGGGCAGCGCAGCAACGCAATTCTCTTTTCAATGTTATGATATTCAAGAGTATTCAAGTCATGAAGCTCTTGGTGTAAGCCTTCCTGCTGATACTGACCAAGCAGTTTACAGCGCTATGCTGATAAAGGTGCCTTGTTGGCGGCACCTATCGCCTCCTGAAAGGACTTAACCTGGCTGCAAGGAATTGCACATCTAGCCGGGCTTCCCATGCTCGGGCATGATTAGCCATCAGCCAATGTACCAGGAAACAAAGCACTGCTTTGCCGCTTCTGTCTTTCCTGCTCTGCACACTTTGTTGTGGTGTAGCTGCCTACTCAATGCCGTCCCTCAAGACTTCACAGAACATGCTGGGCGCCAGCTACTCTAGAAGAGAGGTCACGACATCCACCTTGCTTTGATTTGTGGCTTCAGCTATGGATGCGGGGTCCATTGTGTGCCGGTTTGTTTCTCTAGTGACTCTAGTGCCTACATGTTTCTACCTAGCATGCCTGTTAGGACTCTTAGGACAACTTGGCCAAACTGTTGACAGCAGCAGCAGCTGGTGCTCTGCTTACCAGAACCTCTAGCTGCACGCCCAACTTTCTGCGAGAACAACTCCGATGTCGTTAGAAGCAAGTGGCCAAAAGCTATTACCAGGGAGCAAGGAGCAAACAAGCGACAGCTGGAATGACATGCCGGGTGCTCATATACGTAGAGCTCACCCAGGACTAGCAGCACTGCACCTGACAGAACTTCGCGCAGAAACAGTCAACAACCAGGTTACCCTTTCCGTTTTGTCATCAGGCCTTCCATGGGCTTGTCACTGAGCTCTCGGTAGATCTTCAACGCCTGGTACCATCATTTGCAATGCAGCCAGCCATGCTTTGCACCCAAGAACTCGAACACCTAGTCCCAGAAGGGAATCCCAGGTTGCATAAGTTTTCAAAGATGCCTCCTTGGCTTGTCGAACACCTTGGTCACGGTCTTTGATGCCTCACGCAACAAGGATCTAGGTGCCCAATGGTGCCCACAAGATCATCAATGCTTCTGCCAGGCACTACCTCCCACATCAGCGCCTACATCACAGCGCCAAAATACTCGCCATGAGAAGTGATCCTGCAAAAGAAATCGACCCCAAGAGGCCTCGTTTGCCACTCGTGTTTACCCGCGCCATGGCTAACAGCATCGAGGCCTGAGAATCAGGCAGCAGACAGGGGAAAGGTAGTTCATGGATCTCACTGGAACGTGGGACAAAAGATGTTGCTGTCCATTTCTAAAGGGTTCCATGGTCGTCTAAAAGCCTCTTCCAGACAATAGCTACTTACCCTCTATTCATCGCTCTACACAGCTAGAGAAGCGTCTTGGCAAACACTTCTTGAAACTCGCATTCCCAACAACTGTTATAAGGTGGGGCCTCGCCATGTTGAGCACCCCGACTCCTGTGCTGGTCTACGGGGTGCCAGGTTTCAGGAATCAAGGAATGAGGCACATGTTGTGGGATAAAAACGGGTGGGGACCTTACTTATTCAGAAGTCTCAAAATAAGCAATTTATGCGCCCACCTCAATCAATGAGCTGGGATTGCTTAAGAAACTCCCGAAATGCCATGTAGATGCCCAATCCTCTTCCCTTCCCCCCACCCCACAGCCCCCAACTCTACTCAAAGAAAATACACCCAGAGTAGCACGGTACATATTAAGGACATTTGATTAGGTGGATGTACTATCAAGCGAAGGGGATGAATGATGATCATGGTATAATCTGCCGAAGATCCCTCGACCCGAAACCCGAAAGCTCAACATGAATAGAACATGTATAAGGCAAAAAAGCGAAATTCTAAACCCGCCCAAAACTCCGGACCCTAAACCTAAACTCTGGACCCTAAACCCTGATCCCTGAACCCTACACCCTACACTAAGCCCTATGGTCCCCCTTCAGTAGATAGAATATGGCTTTGGGCATCCTGTCATAAGATCCCCATTTACCCTAGATTCTATTTACTTAAGAGGGACTATAGCCCCTAAACCCTAAAATCTATCTAAAGGGGGGACTACAAACCCTAAACCCTAAACCCTAAAATCTATCTACTTAAGGGGGACTATTAACCCTAAACCCTAAAATCTATCTACTTAAGGGGGACTATAAACCCTAAACCCTAAACCCGCCTGGCCCCTCTTCTGATTTTGCTCCCGGAACCAGACCAGCTCTTCAGAAGCGAGCCTAAGGGCCTGGCCAAAGGTGAGGGATTTAGGGTTTAGGGCTTTAGGGGTTTAGGGATTTAGGGTTTGGGGTTCAGGGATTTAGGGTTTCTTCTCTTGTTGTACCAAAATGGAAACTAGGAATCATAGGGCCATATAGGGGTTATATAGGGATATATGGGGATTATATTGGGATAATGGAAAAGAAAATGGAAACTACTTTGGGGTTATTGGGGTTGGGGGAAGACAGGGGGGGAGATTAGAACTAAAGGGTACCTTAATCTACCTTTATTTAGGGTCCTAATAGGGAATTTTGGGCTCTAGTAGCCCATAGCGGTGGACAAGTTCTAGGGATTTTGTAGGGGCTATATAAAAGTTATAGAGGGGTTCAAGGTAGGGGCTATCTATGGATTCTGTAGGGGCTGACTAGGATTCATGTGGGGATACAGGGGATTTTGAAGGGCTAGTTCTATGGGAAAAGGGATTTATAGGGCCCTGTACGGATTGCAATGTAGGAGCGTATCGGATGGGAATAGGGTTTTGGGAGACATCATACTATGGCTTTGGTCAACTTCATGAGCAGATAATGTTGGCAGGCAATCAGGCTTCTTCGTCGGCTGAAGAGCTTTATACTAGGACATAGTAAGACCACGCAGGCGGTTCTTACATATGATAGCATCTGGGGCATTCCTCAGGACTACCTGCCAGCTGGCCACGCATTCCTTGCTAGGTACCTATACTCGGGACTCATGACTGACTGGTACATAGCGGTATGCGTAAAGTATAGAGAGGCAGCTGATACGACATGAGGCCATGCAATCTGTTGATGAGCGCATTTACACAAACTGACAGCGGAAGAAATCCTGCATTTCCTCCATCAACTTCAGCAACCCAAAACTTCTAAGCCTGTCAAACCCGAAGCTCCGAACGCCCCCGAACACCCCCCTAACCCCAAACCTCAAACCCCAAACCCTGAATCCCGTAGCAAGAATATGCAGAATTTCAAAACACCGTTTTTCGGGGGTCCCGGCTTCATCTGGCTTCTCCTGCCGTGCAGTCACACAAGGCCCCTGGCTACAGGGACTTCGAAGGAATCTGATAACGGTCTCAGAACATAAGGACGATGAGTTGGACTGGGACTATTCGCCTTTTGTAAGCTTCCTAACAAGCGTCCAGTCGCTGCGCGCTCCTTCAGCCCTTCGGCTTCGGGCTTCGTTTTTATTGCGTGAAGCGAGTTTCACGATGCGTAGACCTAATGTAGAAAAAGCTCTACGCAGTGAACCCTACATGATAAAAGGATTTTGTCAATCTGCCCCCCAAACCAGGGCCCTATAATAAGTACAAACATATTCTGATCGCTGTAGGATTCTGAGTTGGGGCTGCGCTCGCCCTCTTGTTACTATCGGTTTCTCACCACAAAGCAATCAAAAAGTGCAGGCCTCTTTCTTGGCCGCTGCTAGGCGCATTGCATCCACCACGACCCGCAGGGAATCTGACACCTGGGGTGCTCTCAACGAAACAACTTCCCGAAAAGGACTCACGGTTGCTTCCCGGACCCTGTTGTCGTGAGTTCTACACATCCAGCACATCAAAGAACGATGCATCTCACCAGTTGCTAGACGCAAGACCTTCAAGGCCTCCACCTTCAGACCCCAGGCCCCGAATTAATGAGGGGCAAGGTTTTGGCCACGGCACGCCCTCGATGTCACCGAGATCTTTGAACATCTCAAGGGCCTGCCGTTTGCATGCAATACAAGAGTTGAGAGACTGTTTAAATAACCCCCGCAGTCGTTGAAACTCACGTGTTAATTCCAGGTTGCCATGATGCACCCCTCAAGACAAGCTACGGGGACAGATCAGAGTAGTGGTTTGATGGGTTGCCTGTTGCGGCTGCGGGCTCTTGTCTTCATGACCAGCATCCTCACAACCAAAAAGATAAGGTAATAGGGGCCTCGTAATTTAGATGCCAATTTAGCATGCTAAAGCTTGCTCATGTTGCGAAGCCTGAAGGCAAGCGCAATATGCCGTAACGTATACCAGAAGAGGCACAGCTGAAAAAGCATCTTAAAAACTGAACAGACAGCGCGATAAGTTCTCTGCGTTCTGTGATTTCTAGGTCGGCAAAATTGATGGAGAAGCCTTTGTCCTCTCCTGGGTCAACCCTAAACCCTAAACACTACACCCTAAACCCCTAAACCGTATGGCAGCTTGCGGCATGCTCTGCATGCTTCGTGGCCTGCCTGAGTTCCAGCCTGCAGTGCTGCATCAAAGTCCTGGTGGTCGTGCTTTCACAGCATCATCCAGGGAAGTACTTATGCCTTCAGGTTATATAGGCTATATTTTGGGGTTATATGCGGTATATATGGGGTTTATATAGGGATAATGGAAAAGAAAATGGAAACTACTACAGTATTACATCCTTCTCACCGTGCAAGTAGAAAATGGGTGCCTTGCATGTTACCATCATGCCGGGGTCAAGTCCTCGTTGTCATTGATGTGGCCCTCCGCAACGGCAAAGAGCATGGCAGCCTGGCCAGGGCTGGCACATTTTTCTAGAACAATGGAAAGTCAAATGAAAGCAATGGAACATGAACTGGAAACTGGGTTTATACACGGGTTAGTATGGATGGTTATCAACACTGGATAACAGACTCAAACGAATTCCGTGGGCATCAAAAGCCGCTGGCACATCACGTTGCTGTCTGGGAATAGGCACCATGACGCTCCGCAAGGCCTACTGCGAAGACCTGTGTGGCTTGGCAGGGTATACCTCGATAATGTGCACATCCACACTATTACTTTGAGTAAAAGAAATGAAAATGATCAATGTGAGCAGTAATCATAAGAATAACAACAACACAAACAAAAATAACAGCATGGCCATTTGCTTGAGTACCCTTAAGTGCGGTTCTAAGGCCCCAAATACTGGACACGTAGGCCCCAACAGGATAAGAAACACTTAGGCCTCAATAGGATAAGAACTGCTTAGGCCCCAATAGGATATGAATTACTATGCTGAACAAAAATCTTGTGCATGGTGCAGGTGGCCTCTCTTTTTTTCGCGGACTGCTGCTGGTCATCTGCGACCGCCTGTGAAGCTCTCATGGGCAGCTTGGCAAAACCACATCCACATGTCCCACATTCACTCCACAACGCATTCTCTTTCTCTTCCTCTATTCATCCTTCCCCCCATTGATAGAACATCCCCCTCTGCTCTCTATTGTACAATCTCAGGAGCCGTATTCAAGAAAGGAGGATTTATCTGGGACACAGACATTCGGGGAGGGCTGAAAGGGAGCTTTGGTGACCAGAACTGAGATTATGACTTTTGTAAGAGCCCCGAATCCACGAGAGTCTTTTTCCAGACGGAATGTTCTTCCGGAGCATGTCCCCTCCGACCAGCAATGTGAATCATCTTAAGGAGCCATTGACTATCCTTTTTGCGCAACTCTAGAACATTGCTCGGGCGAGTTTCGGCAACAATGCGCTCCGGGCGAACCCGTTTTTCACGCCAGGGGGAAGTTTGGTAGCAGGAAGCACATGTTATTTATTAATCTCAAGTTCCAAAGCCTAAGATGAGGTAGTTTGGAGCAGTTCCGATATGAACCACATAGCGCCAATCGGGTAAGGTTGGGTAAGATCATTTAAGTGAATTGCAGAGCATTCAAGTAGGGAACCGTCTGCAGGAAGCCCCTGCTTCGGGCTGTGCTTGCCTGGAGTGCCGTGTCCTTGCTGATGTATTACGACTTTAGAAAAAGTGCCATGCGTATGCGTGCTGCCTATTCTCGAGGACTACCTAGTGGAAAAAGCACATGGAAGCTACCTTGTAAAATTGCAGTCATCCTTTTCTACAAAGCAAAGCCCTTGTCCGCACCGTGTATCTCGCCGACAGCGCATCGGAGGTTGCCGCGCCCCAAGTCTTCCTCTGCTGGGCCTCGGGGAGATTCAACTTAGGGCTTTCTTCAACCTGTGGAGCATTTTGGGTGACGAAACGGCAGGCAACGAATTGAGAGCGATTTTGGACTCAAACCTTGGGAGGTTCGTGGGCCTCTTGCTGGGGGATTCTGAGGCTTCTGTGGGACTGTATTCGTGCTAAGAAAACTTCATGTACTGGTCTTTGCAATACGTCATAGAAGGCATTTATCAAAACGAACGCGAGGCTTGCGAAGAGTGACCACACAACTCATTGCCTGTGCAACTGTCTTGAAGCATGACCAGAAGGACTGCTTGATTTGGGAAATCCCCAGGCTAGCTTTGAGGGCCAAAAGCATCAGCGTCTGTGTGGTTTCCGGTTGAGCTCTGCCTTTTTCCCGAAAGTATCAGGACGTCCTTCAGCGGGCCTCAAGATGGACCATATGAGGAATTGCAGTTGCAAAGAAGTCTACGAGCTAGAAGGCTTCCGTATATCTCTATTTGAGTTACTCATTTCTGCCCTCTTCATCAAACTATGCCCCTGCTGGCCCTGCCGCCAGATAGCCCATTTTCCCGAGATCCACACAATCTGAAATGTCTCTTGTGATTCCTACCAGGGAGTCTGACTATACTTCGCAACTGTAACATCCGCTATACTTAGACTTACATGAGGGCTGTCAGGGAACCACTTTTACTCTCAAGACATACTACTCATTGGAGCGCCTCTTCCAGCCGCGGGTTGGGGGCCGGCTGCACCTGCATCGGCATGGGCAGCGCCTCCGCGAAGTCCAGGTGTGGATGGATGAGCGAAATGGTTGGGGTTTGAAGCTTACGGATTCATGGATGCCTGGATTGTTGCAAGAGGCTGTACTTATCACCTCATGCTGAGCTTAAAATGTAAATCCTACTTGCAAATAAGTACCCCTAGGGGTGCAGTATTGCAGGATTCGGGCCGCTACACTCCCTACTACCCCAGCCACTCGCATCAACAACCCTGAATGAGCGTTGTTTTCGCGGAGTGGGTTCTGCAGGATTCGAATTCAAATCTAGGATACTAGGGGTAAGTAGGTGCTTCTGAAGACCTGGGTCTGCAAACACAAGTATTCTCAGCGCGGGACCATCGTGTCTGACAATGGCCCCAGGCCCCGCGATGCCAATCCGCTACCCTGAGGAGCCGCACATTTACAGGGTGAACGCCTGAACCGGAACCTTCGTTTCATGCAGGCACAAAATGACTGCGGCTCGCCGAAAACTGCGGCTTCTACCATGTCAAGGCGCCCTTGGCAAGGTGACCTGCAAGAACTCCAGACACAAAGTGTCTCATGCATGCACAAACACTGTGCTCACGCCATTTTGGCAAATGCGCATCTTGTCACAGGTCATCAAGGTCTTGGTCAGCTGGAAACGCGCCCAGGAATCCTGCACAGGTGTTGAAGGCACGTCGTTGCTTGCAAGCTCCATTGTTCAGATGGCCTTCCCTCAGGCTCCAACCCGCTGCAGCTAATGTGTGTCATCAGCGCTTTCGTAAAAATAGGCTTGGAGGTGCTTACTCAGCCCGGTGCTTCACTACTAAAGATCATGAGCTACTTGCTCCTGATCAGGTATTCATGGCAACCCACGGCTGTTGCGCTGGCCCCCCACCATACACAAGCAGGAAAAGGTGCCAGCGAAGGGAACAAGCCTCTACATACTGTCATATGACTACTACTGAAACTTGCAAATCCCACCTCAACAGTCATCCTTCTACTCTTTGCGTCTTGAAATCAGTGTGCTACTGAAAGGGCCCTTGATGCAACAAGCCCACAAAAGCAGACAGTACAGAACCCAATGCCCTGAAGAGCTGCCTACATGGCCCCAAGCTTCATCCCTGGAGACCAATCCTGGCCATCTCCCACTAGTCCCCAAACCACCCATTCAATAACAACAAATCTTCTCTGGGTATATTCTACTGCTTGGGGGTTTTTGGAGAGAGAGGAATAGCTAGAAGGAGGTAAGCCCTGCGAAAATCCTGTGTAATGCGAGCTTCCATTTCGTGCCGTTTCAATTGCTTTCGGGCTGATCTCTTCTAATCCTTTCACCCTAGATGATAAATCCCCCTACAAGTACATCCACAAGCCTAACAATCCTGAAGAGCCTTGGGGGTTGTGAGGTCGTTAGGGGGTGATATGATAATGAGTCAAAAGAAATTAGGGATCCACTCGATTTCCTAGGTTGTTGTATACAGAAATTTATATCAAACATCTAAATGCGCAAGTCACTGATGTTGATGCGATCTTCGTTGGTTTTCAGTCGGCTTTACTGGAGTCTAATCCAACTAAAGAAACCTAACTAGATTCAAATTGGATCTCATTCCACATTTAATGTGACTGAAATTGGCTGTTCGATGGAGTTCAATTGATTGTGAATTGGATATTACTTAGATTCTAAATTAGGGGTGGCCCTTTGTAATTCTTTCAATAACTAACATCATTAAATATCAGGGGCCCGGAGCGGTCAATGTCTCAGGGGGGAACTTGTTTAACATTAGGGCGTTGGGGAGGCAGTATGACATGCGGCAGAGGTACGATGCGCCCCGGCGGCCAACATCAACAGCTTTACCTCCGCCGTCATTTGCGTGCAATCCTGGCAGGCTTCAGTATGCTCAAGACTTTGGGAATAAAGGGAGCCCAGGCATCTCCAGAAACTGGCTCCACAAATCTCCTTCAAACTCATGCTGAAAATCGACAGCTCCCGCAGTCAACTGCAACACAAAACCAGGCGCTACCACCACCACCACCACCATCATCTTCCTCATCTTCATCATCACCACTATCATCATCAAAATCGCCATCACCATCACCGTCATCACCGTCTTCATCATCTCCATCACTGTCCTCATCATCATCATCCTCATCGTGCCTGCTTTGATGGTTGATGGAGCAACAATACCTCTTGGGCCAGCAGAGCGAATTCATCCTGAAACCTATCCTCGCACGCGATCAAAACGTACCTAAACATCATCAACCTAAAAATACATACAAACGCATGCATGTATCTGCATCTGTCCACGCATGCGTCCATACCCTGATCAGACTTTTATGCCTCGAATTACAGGCTTACACGAGCCATAGTCTAAACCCCTAGTACTCCCCTCAGTAACCCGTATAACACTCCTCCAAATAACGCCCCCTTTCACGAGTTTAGACTATAGCTCACATAGATCGGCCGGCGGAACCTCAGTCTTAGAGTCGGTGCAGCCGTGGAAGCCCGCCTTTGCTGAAGATTTGGAATCTGCTTGGAGGGTCAGGGGGAAGTAGTAAGTAGGATAATGACTGGGATGCTTGGAGTTATTACATAGCTTATAGGGGTTATAAGTGTACTTACTAAGTTCCCCTGACCCTCCAAGTGTGGTTCATTGACGATGTTGCTCCCCAAATGAGTGACGTTCAAGACTCCTTACATCTGGCAATGGACGCCAAATTGAGGGGTGTCACTTCTCAATGTTGCTATTGCCTTACAAGGTTCTGCACTCAACCCGCAATCGTCTTAATATTGGGGTGTCGCTGTTTAATGTTCCCCACCGCTTTAGAAGGCTTTCGCCTGAACACTCTAAAGTGTTTTTTTTTTTAAGCTGTTCCCGTTGCTTTACAGGGTTTTTGCTTCCCGTGTCCGCTACAGTACTGGCATGACTCCTCACAAGCGAGTATTGGCTGTGGCTCACATGGGGGAAATCTTTCAAAAGGACCCACCTTTAATTTCATATTAATTCTACGGACATTTCCGCATGGAAAGTTTTGGAGCATCCTTGCTCTCTTTGTAGGTTCTTGTCTTAGCATTTGTCTCTCTGTTGGGCAAGAAATTGGAAGGCCCTGCACACGGAAGATGCTGAGAGTGTTGCGCTGCTAGAGGCAAGAGTCAGGAATCCCGTCGTGCAACTTAAGGTAGAACTCTGTCAGTAGCACCCTCCGGACACACGGTGGTGCCAGTTCCTTTTCGGTGCACACATTCGCCAAGAGGATCCTCGTTGATGGTTGGACCCAGATTTGCTCAACACAACTCTTGCTCATGGTGTCAGATTCTAGAAACATGGGGCTGCTAAACCCTGAACCTTATATAGTAGTTTCCATTTTCTTTTCCATCATCCCTATATGACCCCTATATAACCATTGTATCTCCCCATAATATAATAGTTTCCATTTTCTTCTCCATTGTCCCTATATAACCCTATTCTTACCCCAGTCCCAGGACCCTAGATAGTAGTTTCCCTTTCCTTTTCCCCATTTATCCCCAATATAACCCCTATATATATTACAGTAGTTTCCATTTTCTTTTCCATTATCCCCATATCCTTTCACAGTGTTGGGAAGAGTAGGAATACATACACGAGGGGAGCCCTGGCCGGGTTCGAATGTGCGAGAGCAGGGTTACTGGGGTTATATAGGGTTCATATAAGGTTTTTATAGGGATGATATAGGGATTATGGGGTTTATAAAAGGATTATAGGGTATATAGAGGGTTTATATAGGGATTCTAAGAAAATGGAAGCTATAGGGGTTGCTGGGCCGCGCACATACTGTATGTGAAGCCCTTCACTCCCTTGAGCCTTTTTCCGCATCAATTGCTATACGCATTACATGGGTGTTGGGTATAGGGCTTAGGGTTTAGGGGTTATTTTCCCATATTCCCTACTAACCCCGTATAACTCGATTATGATGTAGTAGTTTCCATGTTCTTTTCCATTTTCCCTATATATACTATATAACCCCAGTATATCCCCTATATAACCCCTGAACTTCCTGTAGTTTCCTTGTTATTTATTTTCAAGTCTCCGAGTAGAACACCAGTATACTACAGCATTCTTTTCCACTATCTGTACCTAAACCCTAAACCCTGTTGAACCTTGGAACTTGCCCCAACCTTGTCGTTGATCCAAGTGGCATCTGCCGAGGGGCAAGTGCTCCCTTGGTTGGGGGGTAAACTATCCTGTGCTCATGCAACAAGGCAACACTATTTGCTTTGGGCAGAGTTCCCATTCAGGACAAACTGTTGCAGGGTCTGCCTGACAGGACGACAACCAGGAATTGAATTCCACAAAAGATCTGGCTTGCAAGGAAGAAGGCAACAGCTACGACACTCACACAGGTGAAACGAGACTGAAACAAACTTGTCAGGCTATGTCTGCTGAAAAGGCATCTCTATCCCAACTCATTTATCACCAGCGCGCTGCTTCACAAAAAGGATATGCCGATATGCTTGCTGCTCAGCGGCCATCGGGACAGCACTGGTTCCTCATATGCGGGCACGTTCGGGGACAAGCAAACCATACACGGAAGCAGTTAGCTGCAACCAGCTCAAGGGCCGGGCATCTGCGAACGCATGATAAGCACAATGAAGGCGTCTGCACACAACACATGTCTTAGCCTGAAGCCCAAACTACTACTGCCCATAGAGGACACCCATTCACTGACTGGAAACAGAAACCTTGTTGGAGACCAAGCCTAGAGAGACAAACCGGCCACAGGTTGTTTCTAGGCTCAAGAATCTTTTTGGCTTGGATTGTTGTTTGGTATGGCAACTCTTGGCTCTCCCCGAACCCTTCCCCTGTCCCTGCGTCATCTGCGCGTCACAGCNNCCCCCCCCCCCCCCACATGGTGCTGATATAAGGCCTGTGTACCCAAACCCCAAGGAGGATGCAACAATGAGACCCCCGATATTCACTAGAGCTCACAAGTGCCACCTTAAATTGGCCCGCCAGGATGACTTACAGAGCCTCATAACATCCGCATTTTTCCCATTAGTAACCTAGATACTTACGTACTAAGTCCCCCTGACCCTGCAAGTATGTCTTAACATCTGGTATCCCCAGGTGGACACCATGTATGCTGCCAAAGCACCCAGCGCAGGAGCCCTCACCTGTGCAGTGATTTTCAGGGGACCCTTAGGTCGACTCTAGGGATACTTACAGGTAACAGGAGTCCTTGTTATGAACCACACCACGCAGCTGTCATTTCGACCCACTTGCATCGGAAGGTTGGGGCCCTTTCCCATGCCAAAATATCCAGAATCTTCAATATTTTTCGGGGGGTGAAGAAGGAACCTAAGTTTGAGAGAATCCCGGTTTTTTGGTGCTGACAAGAAGGTGCAGCTTTGGGTAGGGTCAGCGGGATTATTTCAGGATTGGAGACTTGGGTATACTGAGGAAAACAGCAAGACTGCAACACGTACCTGCCCGAGCAGGGGTCGTGTCTGGTCATGTAAGATCAGGCAAGGACTACATCATAGGGGTTGGGCCGTGAAAGTGAACACTTGTTTCATGCGTGCTAGAGTCTTTCGACGCTATGCAAAATCTACTGTCCTGTTGGCAAACCCTTGTTTACAACAAATAAACATCAAACATCGGAGCCTCACAAGTTGAACAGGCGATTCCGAGCCATACTTGTCATGCAGATCCGAACGAGAACCTAGATCGCTCATGTTGGCACTTCCCCAAAACCCGAGGCACTGGGCTTGGGGACAGGGCTGGGAGTTGTGGAGAATGAATTCTGCTGCAATCCCTGTGTTGGTCAAACACAGGAGTAGTAGTTTCTATAGATATATACACTTACAAATACATATGCGTACACATACGCATATACAGAGAATACCAATACACAGCAGTCGTCCACACCATGGAGGGGCTCAATCCTAAGCATGCTGAATCTTGGACGTCCTCAAAGACACGGGGTTTTTCCAGCATAAGATAGGCCTTAGTTTCTGGATGGTTTTACTTTGCGCATGTGGAGTTGAGGCCAGTGACCTCCGGGACACGGCACCACGCTGCCAACAGAACATGGGGCCTGGGCAGGCAGGGCGGAAGTTTCAGGACGCAGCTACATGGCCTTTCAGACGTTTATGGCAGCTGTGTTTGCTTAAAGAACTATAGTACTGCATACTATCTTTTTGGGAACCTTCAAGGGCACAAAGTGGCGCGACAAAACCGTCTTGACTTTTCTGTGGTGCAAGTGTTGGAATTTGTAGACAGCGGCCCCCGTTATCGGAATAGAAAGCGCCCTTCAAGATGCCCAGCACTAAAGAGTACATAGGAAAACGTAGCACTTGGTCTGTTAGGCCCGTGCAAGATGTAGGAAACACCCATCCTCTGGAGAAGGAATTGTTACACTCCCTTGCCCTGGAAACACTATTTTTAACAGTGTGGAAACACCTCTGCGCACTTCTTTGCTCTGCCTTTACTTGCCATAGCAACAACTGAATCAGTACTCTCAACTTATTAAGGTAGACCTAAACCCCTCCTCCTCATGCCCCACGTCGTCACAGGGTTTGACATCCAACGTGGCCTTTTGCAGTTCCAAGAAAGCTTTCGCAAGGTAGGGTCTGGCATATGGATGGGCCTTTACAGCCCAGTGCAATGCAAGCCTTTGTGCAAGGCAAACGTCTCCAGGCGGCTGGCGACGTCCAACGCAAGGGTTAGAGAGCAGTACCCAAACCTCGAAGATATATGACATTCCAACACTGCCACGTCGCGGCAGCTCAAACTCCTGTAGCTTGGACAATCGCCCGGCCATGGGCCGTGCGTACAGAAGTACAGGAGATATAGCTTCCGTAGTTGAAAACTGGAACGTTCCCGGCTGGCCAAGCGATCTGAATCACGACTGTCCTCTTCAGAGTTCTTGCGCTCGATTGTTCTGAGGCTACTGAAAGACCCATCCCGTAGTATGGTTTGAGCAACAACTATGATGATGCTGGCGTGTTTGTGCTGCAGATAGCTTTTCCAAACCCGCCTGGTGGTAATTCCGTAGCATTAGTGGAAATTGTAACAGATGTTTTCAGTTGTCATCGATTGTCCAAAGGCTACCACTCGAAAACGGCATACAACTTTGTGGCAACAATGCCAGCTCCCATTATTGAATGACTGGTCTCTCACTGACAGGCAGGAGCTGTCATGTCTCAAGCTACTCTGTGGGCCTGAGATGACGAAAGCCGGCCTTGGCACAAAATGGCCGGGCTCTTCCTTGCCGGGTGTATTGATGTGGTAACATCTGGGAAGCAGGCTTACTTCTCTGGTAACATGACGTCCAACTACGAACCCTGAAGCTTACAAAGTACTATGCCGCCTGAAGATGTAGATGTGGAAGAAGTGGGGCTAGATCATTGTTATTGAGGTAATGGAAAATAAAGTGTAAACTAGGGGAAATGGACAAGAAAATGGAAACTACTATTCAGAACGCGCTCAGGCTGGAACCAAAACTGCTGGACATGCATGGCCGGACTGGGCACAGCTCGCCCCCAACATGACGAGCTTGATTTCAGAGCGTTTTAGGGGTGGTTAGCCCGGTTTGGAAATCATCTAGATTGAGTTGAGGGACTTGTCCGACCCTGTCCGTCTCCAAGCAGTCTCACTTAAATCATGGCTCCCCTACCACCCCCCCCGGATAAGGACATGCGCCAAAAACAAAGCAAAGCTCTACGTCAATCGCTGAACTCAACACGGGGGCCGCCTCCCTCCCTTTTGACGGTCCTTCAGCGGGGGAGGCGGGTGGCGGCGGGATCCATGAAAAATCTCGATACTGGAATCATGAGCAAATAATGAGCATTCCCGGGCCCCAAGCGTCGCAGCTGATCGTGTTTCTCAGGAGTAGAACCCTTTGTCGCCCGTGCGTTCTCAGGGTCCTTCAAGAATCTCCCGGCATTGCGGAATGGCAAAAATGACCTCTTCCAGCAGCTACACAACGGCTACGCCTGCTGTCTGGCATGTCATGTTGGCTCAAGAAGGTGATCCATCAGACTCCGTAAAAAATGTCGTGCACGTTGGACCAGTCAGGATAATTAGGAAGAACCTGGGCCAGTACCACCTGAATGCGAAACGTGCTCGCGCAATGCTAGATCCTCAGTTAGCATGGCCTAGCTGGAGCACGTAGGCCCCCAACCACTCAGCCGTCTACCACATAGCGACAACCACCGATAAAGTGAAGGCTGGTCCACCTCCTTGGACGCCAAATGGACCAAGTCTCCAAAGTCTAGAGATGACAAGACGATGAAAACAACGTAGGCTTCCTCAGAGAGAGGCTTCGCATGCAAACTCTCTGCTTGATTTTGGTCTCATTTGGGAGCCTCATATTTGCTGTGGACTACTCTTGGAATCCATTCATGCAGGACAATGTTCTGTGGACGGCTTGCTAGGGCCCATCTTAGATCCTGCCATCTGACCCTCCCTTCACAGTCGAAGCCTCTGCTTCTCAGAGCGTCTATCTCCTAGGCAGCGGGCCACTGGCCCACTGCTGGCATTTGGATATGACATGGAAGCATGCCAGACTTCCCACAATGAGCGATGGCCTCCCTGCTTGACGTTACTCTAGGCATCTAGAAGGGCACTCTAGGGTGCTTCGAGACAGGCTGCCAGGGGGATTGGCTTTCTTTTCCTGAGGGTTCCCATGCACGACCGAGAACTGCAGTTCTTCATAACATCTGAACCAGGCTTTGCATCATCTGCTCGACTTCTCAACTAGGTTTTGTATCATCTTTCTACTTAGAGGTGTAAACTACAACCATAAAGCTTGTGTTCTTGCGCGTTTCATATGCAAACAGCACACATAACTAACAAACCAAATGCCAGCAGATTGGATAATCTTTGCCGAACAGGTCAAATGCTGCACAACTGTGATCCTGAGCAGGCTTCTCAATGGCCAAATGTAGCCTGTGTTCCCAGGCTGCAAGATTGCCCAGAACCTGTTCGACCCACCGGCACTCTTCGGTATCTAGCTGTAAGGACTGAAGCTGTCACGGGCGCTGTCAATGTTTTCGGAAGTTTCATGAAAAATCCCAAGCACGCGTCCGCCGTGAGAAGATACTACAAGAACCCCGTTAAACTCTTGAATGGGCGACCGCAACAAGTGAGAACCCAAACGAGGGTCAGCTGCGCCTTATGTCCCGAAAGAGCCTTTGTCCAGGTCGCCCTCCTAACGGTCACAGGCCAGTCCACCAGGATACTTTCAGATACCACAAAACCCAATCAACGCAGGACCTTCAGCATCGTATGGCAAGTCACTGATGGTGACAGAGAACTCATACAGGTTGTAATTAGCAAGCCTGGCAGAGGGCACCAGGTAGCGGCAGCAATCTTGCCGGTGCGCCACGAGGATAGAGGACAGAGGAGCGGCAGAGAAATAGGAGGCAGCGAGCAAGCTTAAACTGTCTCTCCAAAGCCAGGTTAAGTTCGGAAATGGAACGCAAAAACCATGCCGGAAAACTTGTGACACCACGGACACATGGAAGCTTCACAACTAACATGTCCGCTTTGAGTTGCTTTCGCAGAGATCGTATTGCCAGCACGCTTTCTATTGGCTCATGCCATTCCACTTGGTACATGAGATTTGGGGATCCTCTATGAGTCCGATGCATTGGTTATACAGGGAAGTCGACCCAGTACCTGACCTTTCCCGACAGCACCTGCGCACTTCTATCCAGCCCTTCTGCAGCAAAGGGGTGCGTCTAATTATGCATGCAAAGGCTCCAGGTACCTCCGGTGCGCACGCTTAGGCCCTCCAAACTCTCCCATGAAGCAAGGACCAGCCAGAATGCCCCACTTACCGCAGTTATAAGCTACGGTAATGAATCATGAGGGGTGAGTTTGGTGTGAGAGGGCTGTTTGCCCAACCTTCTGTTGCTCAGGCCAGGTCCATGAGGGTGCCCAGCACTGCGTGGGGGGGGGTTGACCAAAGCACAAAGTTGTAGTAGCGCTGCAAAAGATTGTCAGCACAGAGTCTATAGGTTGTTAACCTGTTAGCTAAGCCTCAAGATGGACTCACCAAAAGCTTCGCAAAATAAGGAAGGTTTCGGGCCTCATGGTTGTTGAGCATGGCAGTCACTGTGTCGAATCAACATCCCTTCGCTTCAAAATCAGTTTCAATCAAAAACCTTCGTGTCAAAACTAGCAGGTACCGCTTGACAATGCATGTGATCATTACCCCTGAAGCGTGACATGAATATTCCTGACAGGCTGATGTAATGTAACCTTGGCGTGCAAGGACCCGTCTAAACCTTGCCAGCATGTAGCTTGGATCTATAGCGGTGGATTGCAGGCTCTGAATGTGGTATGTGGCACGGGGCTTTTGAATCTTCCGCCGGGATCTTAGACTACTGCCTGCAGGGCTTGTAGTTTGGACCCCCGCCAGGGTGCAAGGCACGAAACCAGATGACCCCCACGTCTTTACACAGGCGCCGATCCTCTCAAGGACGCTTCAAGCAATCGGCGGACCTGATGCTGACCTTAAAACTGGCCACTGAAGTCTAATTGGCGTGACCACTCTCCTTGCGCAAGCAATGGGCCGAACACCAGAGTCGGCAATCAACATAAACATGTGAATGTTCTTCACTAAGCCCAGGAAACAGAGGTTCCAAGGGCTTTTGGGAACTCTACTTATGGGCCTTGCCGGGATCCTCATTAAGGATTGTACGGGGAGCACTTGGCAAACTCCCACATACATCTACACATCCTGTTGCAAATACACCGAAAGCCTAGAGCCCAGTCATTGCCTTTTAAACTCTAAATCCCATACGCCAAAACTCCGTAAGCCCTACAGGCCCAAACCCCCAGCGTAAGAGCTTCAGGCTTTAGGAAGATGCCTGCATCCGACTCTGGTAGCTTTGCTTGCCCGGCAGAGGCTGAGCCAGAATCAAAATGCTAAAGCGGTAGATAGTAGAACTTGTAGTTTACGGTTTAGGGTCATCGCTGTAGAGCACTGAACTTTTCGCAACTGTATCCCCTCGATAGCCCGTATATGATTTTGGTATCTTTTCCAACACTCCTGTCCTAACACATCATTTTAGTTAGTGAGGTCCC